CACAAATTCACAGAGGCAGTTGTGTAAGTGAGTTTGTTGTTGTTAAGTGCTGTGGAGTTGATTTTGACCCATAGCCACCCTGTATAGGGTTTCCGAGGCTTTAAATCTTCCCAGGAGCAGAAAGTGAGCTCACTTTATGGTGATCCCTCAAACTGCATTTAAATTATCCTTTAGTATTATACCTCAAAAGTCATGTTAAAAAAGTCACAGAGAAGAGATTTCTTTGCATCCGTTTCCCAAGCAGCCTGGCTTGTAATCTAAACTTTGTACAAACTGGGCAAGTCATTTACTCCTCTGCTTCAGTCTCCCCATTGGGCTTCCAATAGGACCTATCTCATAGGTTCCTTGTGAGAATTCAATGAAATTATGCATGTAAAATTCTTAACCTGTATGCAGCACTGATTAAATGTTAACTGTGGATTAATAGTATGACTTATCCAAAGAAGGAGAACAGCATCATATAGAGGGGAGAGAGATGTGACCAGACAGGTGCCTTTGATGCTCCTGCCCTGGGCAGGTAGACTAGTCTGGGTCTCAGATTGTCCAGGTGGAGTTTATGAGCAGGGGCAGCCCAGTGAGTGGTACCCTCTTCCCTAGACCCTGAAGCCGTGTGGCCATGTGCAGCGCCCATTGTAACCTCTGCTGTCAGCAATTCTGGCTCCTACCTGGCGCTGGCCTGCGAGGATGGTGTGCTCACACTGTGGGACCTGGCTGTAGGTGAGCCTCCTGCCTCTCCACCTAACTCCTAGGTGGGTCTCCAGGCAACGAAACCCCAAGAGCACTGGAATTTCTCTAGGCTCAGGGCCTTCTGCTATCTCTGTGTTCTGAAAGTCACTTTGGGGTACTGATTTTGCTGTCTCCTTCATTCCTTTGATAAACATTTGTTGAACATATTTGTGCTGAGGTATTACATCCCCCCGTTTTTATGGAGTGTGCCCTGTGCCAGGCACTGTTACAGGTCCTGTAAGTACAATCATTGCTTTCATCATCCCACTCCAGTAAAGAAGAGTCTTCTAGCACCAGAACAATATCATGGTGGCTTCAGCTGGTTCCTCCCAGTCTCCAGTCTCTCAGAATAATCCCACCGAGTGTGCAGGCTCCTTGTCAGTACTAGGGCTGAGAAACACCTCTCAAGCAATCAGTACAAGGCCAGTAGCTCTCCTTGGTGGGGCCCAGGCTCCTGGTTCAGCTTTACTGGAGCAGAAAACCAATGGTATCCATTTATACCTGAAATCGGTCAGCTGCTGGAGAAGCATCTGCCTCTAACAAAACTTTTTAAAAAGTGATGAGGGAGTCAGTAGTTTGTCATTTGACAACTGGGTGTGTGTGTCACTGGAGCCTGGAGTGGGGCCACCTTCTTGGGACAGCAGTCTTGGCAGATGAGTTCATGAAGCAAACCAGTGACGGTGCCCTGTTCACTGAGGAGGAGTTTGTGCGCAGAACGGGGGCTGCCTTCCTCAGAGCGCTTTCCTCACCGAAGAACTCGATTATTTAGAATGAGAGGCCAGTCTTCCCACCCAGTGCTGAGATAAACGTGGGCTAACGGCCCTCCTGAATTTTATTTATTGTACCCACCATGTGATTATAAGAGCAAAAGAGACTTTAAAGAAGAACTATCAGAAGTTCTCAAGCACTTGCTTTTCAGGATATTGGTAAATTCTTATTGTTTGCCTGTTTTCTTTTCTGAAATCTCTTCTGCTCTCCCGATGCATGTTTACAACCAGTTGTCAGCTGCAACTCAGCATTCACCTGGCTTCTTCCTCTTCCAGTGCTGGCTCTACCTTCCTTCAAGGGTTTGATTGTTCTACCTGGTCCCCCCATCCCCTGAGCTCCCCAGGAGTTATCCCACAAGGGGGCTGTTTTCTCCTCCCAGCTGGCTCTGGGTTTGACTGGTTTCACTCTCAGAGAGCACTCTACCTTTTTTTTTTTGTCTTGTCCCCACATCTGTAAGTCCTTTCCTCCTGTACTTGCTGGTCACAGCCCCCACCCCCACCCCCTACCCTTGTCTGCCTGCCCCGCCCTCTCTTCTGACTTGCCTCTGTGTGTGTGGTTTTTTTCCCTCCAGGATTCTCATTTGGGGTCCTTGCTCTTCCTGAGGGATGTCTCTGCCAAAGCATTCACTTCCTAAACTACTTCATGGTCTGCAACAGACAGAACATGTATCCGGAAGTTCCAGTGAAATCCAAAATGAAATGTGTGGTGCTATGTACAGATGCCTCCCTCCATCTGGTGACAGCCGAGGGGACCCAAGGACCCAACATCAGTGAGCTCATTGAGAGGTCAGTGACTTGAGGGCAGGACAGAGCAAAGAGCCACCAGACATGTGATGCCATTTCATAGTATAAAACCATTAGGCTGGCACCAGACACATGATGCCATTTCTTAGCATACAACCAGCAGCCTCGCCAACAAGAGACTTTCCCAAGAGCCATCACTCTCCTCACAAACTTCTCAAGATCACCAATGTCTTTTTTGTTTCTTTTGGTAAGTTTTTTTAAACAAAAATTGTATGATCGTACAAAATTATATCTTTCATATTCTGGATTATCATAAAGCAGATATTTCCTACAAACATAATCTAGCCTTTTTTCAGTTTCCATAAGGGTCCCACTCTGTTTTTATTTTTTAAATTTTTATTGTGAATTGAGTGAAAGTTTACAGGGCAGGTCACCAGTTTTACTTTCAACCAATTATATACTTTGTTTCATTGCGATAATTGTAATCCCCTCCATGTACCATCAGTTAACAGTATTTCTCTCTATTCATTTTAGCTTTTTTTTTTTTTCCCTAAGCACTCAGGCATATATAATAATGTATACCACCAAAAGGCACATTCTGCAAGTCTGCCTCCTGGCCGCCATCTCTCAGTCCCTCTCTTTCCATGAATCTAGAGTCCTCGGATGTTCCCTCTCTCCATGTCCCCATCTCTGCCTCCATCTCTGGTGTCGCTACGTCTCTGGTTAAGGTCCCACATTCCACTGTGCTCTTCTCCCTTGATGGTCCTAGGATCCTCTGTTTCTGGACTGTAAGATTAACTACTCCCCCCTTTTTGTTTCAAAACTTCTGCCTTTACAAGTGTGACAGTCATAAATAGTCATGAGAACAATTACTCATTATTGAATCCTAAGAATCGTATCCCCATCTCTTTTAACCAGACCCATCTAGACAAGATGAAAACTATTCAGTGGGAACTCTTTCTTCTTAAACTAAATTCCCTCTTGAAACCTTGTAAGCCAGTCACTTTGTGCCTTTATCTCTCCCTCATTTTAGGTAGCCAATGTCTAAGTTGCTCATCCCTATCTACCCTGTGTACAGAGGGGATAGCATTGATACTTGATGTGAAGACTCCTTCCCTCTCTGTTGGTATTTTTGAGTTACTATCTCCATGAATATAGGTCAAGTTCATCAAATTTTATCAATTTACCCATGTTTCCTTTCCTTTATCAAAAAAAAAATTTTTTTTTTTTTTTTAAATCTTCCTCTAGACAAGTTCTGATTATCAAGGCTAGGTCAAATGGGTACTATCTGCAAGTTTGGGCATTCTTGTGCATCTCCCCTCACTTCGTATCAGCTGGATGCTTCACTTTCAGCTCAAGCCCTCTGTGGCTATGTCCTTGTCCATGGGCTCAGGTGTCCCCAGGTCTCACCATACTTTGGACCAACCAATCCTTCCTCTTCTCTCTCATCTCCAGGTCAATGGGAGTCTATGGAATGTGGTTGAACTCAGCCCATTTCTTCATTACTGCCTTTCCCCTTCTTCCACTCACCAGTTAGACCAATTTGGTCACTAGCAAGCTTACATGCCTGCTCATGTGTTCCCTTTGAGTTTCTGGGTTTTTGTTGTGAGTTCTTCTTTGCATCTCACTGAACTACACAATGTCTGTATAAAGTGTAAAGACTCATGAGCTAAGTACTGCTCCCTGCTCTAAGCTTCCGGATGAGCTCATCCCCTGCGGGCCCCTCCTTGATCACATCCTTCTCTATCCTCCTTCAAAGGGAACCGACACATTCAGTAGGCATCGCCACATAACAAATCACCCAAGATGTATTGGCTTAAGACATCCATCATTACTTCATTCAAGTAGGTCAGCAGTTTGGGCTCAGCTCAGTTGGGTGGTTCTATTGGTCTCGCCTAGGATTCCACATGTGCCTGCTGAAGATGGTCTCACAAGTGTTTCGCAGTTTGCAGGCCGTTGTTCAGGACACCTTGGTTCTCCTCCTTGTGGCCAGTCCAGCAGGCTAACTCAGGTTGCATCATGGGATAGTATAACAGTTACCAGCAACAAGAGGGAGCCCCTGTGTACATTGCTTTTGTTACTGCCAAGTTGTTCTCCAACTCACGGCAACTCCGTGGACAACAAAACAAAACCCTGCTCGGTCCATTGTCACTTACAGAGTGGATCGTTGTGATTCATTGTGTCTTCCTGGGCTGGTTTTCAGGAGTACACCACCAGCCTTTTCTTCCTAGTTTGTTGTTGTCTGGAAGCCCCATAGCAACACAGCAGCCTCTACTGACATACTGGTGGTGGTGACTGTCAATGAGATGTCCTGGCCAGGAATTGAAACCACTTTTCCCACATGAAAGGCAAGGATTCTACTCCAGAACCAACACTGCCCCCTCTCTGCTTGTGTTACATTTGCTAATGTCTCACAGACAAAGCCAGTCACACAACCAAACCTGTCTTCAGCAGTGGAGAAACACATTGCCATTGTCATGGTTAGGTGCCGAAGAATTGGTTCCAACTTGTAGTGATCCCATATTGGGTTTCCTAGGCTGCAATCTTTACGGGAGCAGAAACCCTCAGCTTTCTGCCATGGAGTGGCTGGTGGGTTTGAACTGCTGACCTTGTGGTTAGCAGTCCAGTGCACATCCTACAGCACCCTCAGCATTCCCCAAAGCTCTGTAGTCCTGCCAATAACTCCCCAGAGAAGGTGATTTTATACAACAAATTGTAACTGGAGAAGAATCTCACATCTACCAAAATGACCCAGACAGCAAGTTCCAATCAAAACAGTGGCTTTGTGGGGAATCAGCTGTATCAGTTCAATTTAAGGCAGAGAGACCAACTTAGAAGGTAATGGCCACTGTTTGCTTTTTTTGGTGGACCAGACTCCAAAGAAGTAATCTTGACAACCACCACTCGTCTGTCACTTTGTCATACTGGGGTGGCTTGTGAGTTGCTGTGATTCTGAAAGCAATGCCACCGGTATTTGAAATACCAGCAGGGTCACCCATGGTGGACAGGTTTCAGATGAGCTTCCAGATGAAGACAGACTAGGAAGAAGGAGTGACGAATTACGTCCAAATATTTAGTAACTGAAAACCTTATGAATAGCAAAGAAACACTGTCAGATATAGTGCTGGAAATGAGCCCCTCAGGTTGGAAGGCACTCAAAATGCGACTGGGGAAGAGCTGCCTCCTTAAAGTAGAGTTGACCATGATGATGCAAATGGAGTAAAGCCCATGGGAGAAAAGCCCACAGGACCTTCATTTGCTGACGGTGCACAACTCAAAATGAAGAGAAACAGCTGTAAACATCCATTGAAAATCGAAACATGGAATGTACAAAGTATGAATCTGGGAAAATTGGAAGTTGTCAAAAATAAACATCGATATCTTAGGCATTAGTGAGCTGAAATGGACTGGTATTGGCCATTTTGAATCTGATAACCTCATGATTTACTATGCCAGAAATGACAAATTGAAGAGGAATGGTGTTGCATTCATCATCAAAAAGAATATATCCAGATCAGTCATGAGGTACAATGCTGTCTGTGATAGGATAATATCCATGCGCCTACAGGGAAAGCCCAGTTAATACCACTGTTATTTAAATT